GAAGGTTTGGGACAAGGTCCTTCCTTGCGTGGTCCCTCTGCTCCCACTTGCAGCAGGGACGGTGCGGGGCCAGGCTGCGATGGGGGATCCTGTCCCCAGCCTTCAGGGGAGCAGGGCAGGGGGTCCCAGGATGGTCTGAGTTAGTCCACCAGGCACTAGGACCAGATCCCCAGAAACGGGGACAACATCGCCCTACTTGCCCCAGGGATGAGGCGTTTTGGGGAGAGATGAGGCAGGGAGGAAGGGCTGTCTGTCGTTGGGGGCTCCAATGTCTTGTGCTCCCCTTCCCGGGCACTGCGCTGGCGCTTACTGTCTGCAGCAACTCATCTGCTGCGCTGGGATCGCAGGAAGTGGCACTGTTAATGCTGAGGGTCAGGTCCTGGAGACTCAGTGAAGTCCCCTTGGCTGAGAGTGTCCCTGCACGAGGCACGAGGCCAGCAGTGCAAACGTGGGAGAGGGAATCTGGCTCACCTGGATCCCTGGCTGAGAAGCGGGGGCTGCAGCGCAGCTCAGACATGTCTCTGTGTCTGCCATCCCCACGCAGCACCTGAGCAAGCCGTGGGCACAGGGGAACCCCCGGCTGGCTCGTGGCACATGGTGGGTCAGGTCTCGATGGGCACAAAAGTGCAGAGGTGGCTGTAACCGGTGTCTTTAGCCCCGTGGTCTGTGACCAGATGGAGTGGTGATGGCAAAGGAGCCAGCAGGAAGAGACTTGTCCCTGCAGGCAGAGGATGCAGGGACATCCCTCTCCATCTTCTCCGGGGAAGGAGCAATCCCAGCATCACACCCCAGCGTGTCGCATCTGGTCTCCCAGGGGATTTATGGCTGCTGGGTCCTGGGAACAGCCTGGCAGGCAGAGGTGCCCAGGGTGGCTACTGGGGACTGATCCTGTCCCAGCAGGCCAAGAAAACAGCCTGGTGCAGTGATAGGGATCCTGCAGCAGCCCGAGTTTCTGGGTGCCAGTGGGTGACATCTCCTCCTGCCCTGACACCAGCACTGGGGTCTCCATGGTGTGTCCCTGCAGTTCCACACATCCTCTGCTAAAATGCTTTTTTCACCCAAACCAGCAGCTCTCCGTGTGTCACTGGAGCTTCAGATGGTTGTTGTGTCCCTGCAGTGACACATGGCTTCCAGGTGGTGGTCAGGGAATCTGACCTGCTGGGTGATGGGCTTCATCCCTCATGGTCAGCTTCTGCCCAGAGCAGTGTCACTGCCAGGGCAGGGGCTGGCAGTCTCCATCCTAGGGGTGTGTAGGTCGGGTCTTTGCTCCCTGTCCCTCCCTGTTCAGCCAAGGAGGTGCCAAGGTCAGATCATCTGGCATATGATCTGGTCTGGCATCTGGTCATATCACCTGGCTTCATTAATGGCACTCAGAAGTACCCACACACCTCGTCTGGGGAGCAGCCTCCATCTCCATGGACAAGGAGCTGTCTAAATGCTCTGCCCAAAGGCTGAACTTACTCCTTGGTTACAGCCCAGGCTTTTGCATCTTCAAAGCCTTCCTCACCGTGTTTGGATTTGTGTCGGGGTGATTGCAGGGCCAGCGGCTGTC